GAGAACAAAAGAAATCACGAAAAAATGTTGACATTACAATAGCTCTAGAAATTTGAATCTTCTCCAATATGAGGCTTGAGCAAGAGTTTGAACCTTCTGGGAATACAGAATCGGAGAAAATAGAAATTGATCGGGCTATTGTAATAACTACATTTTTTTGTTTTTGGTAAGGTCTTTGCGCATGAGCGAGACATGTTTTTACTAAAGCAGCGGTTGCTCACTTTGAACGGGAAAAAGGCGTATTTGTCCAGCGAATAATACACCTTTTTCGCGCTAAATGTCATTTTTAAATACTTGATCGAATTGGTCACACCATTAGTGATAAAGATGCAATGTTTCAAGATATCAAGTTTTTTAAGTTTCATACTTTCTTCGCGTTTACAAAATTAAGTAATGCCCCGAGTAAGAACTAGGGAAGCAAACGGCACAGGAATGCAAGAAGGTGCTAATTGCGCATTGTATAATCCATCCATCCCATTGGTTAAAACATGAAAATCTGCTATAATTTCACAAGTTAGCGAATTTTCTAATATTTTATTTAATGTCTGTTTTCGCTTTCACGAAAGCTTTCTTTGGCTTTAATATTAAGGCAATTCTATGTGGGGAACATAGCAAATTAAAAGCATCTTTTGGCTATTGTTTTGAGTGCTTGTGATTGGATAAGAGCTTTTAATACAAAAGAAACTTTGTTTCAAAATAGAGTTTATCCACATTTTATTTCAAAAATGTTTTACCCACAGATGGATACATAATCAGTGTGAAAACCAAGACATTCGTACATGGGGAACTTGCTATGCCGCAGAACAATAGAGAGTTCCCTAGTTCTTTAGCGCATTGTTACTTAATAGAGTAGACAGGGTACTTTGTCTGGGATAGCTTAATCCACCCTCGTATCTTAACATTTGTCATTCTTTATTACTCTAGGGACCTGCGCAAGTATCATTGATGCCGATTTATGAGGAGGTGCCTGCTAAAACGAAGGTTACCAAAGCATGACTGGCCGACTCGTGGTACAGTCCCGGAACTTTTTTGGCCGCTTCATCGAACTGCTGGTCGCGGAAAATGGGTCCAGAAGCTTTGAAGCACACTATGATATTTACACAGAGATATGCTATTTGTCATGTCTCAGGTCCATTATAATGAAGCATGCAGCTAATTATGCACTCACATGCATTATCACTATAAATTTGTACAAAGTGGAAGCTATTCATTTAAAAGAACACGGCAACGTTTTTATATTGAAAGTAAACAGTTTTTATCTCGCCCATGCAATTACCTCCATATGAACTTACATTTTAGCTTAGAAAGTTGCATACATTATATATTTTATAGACGTTATAGTTATAAGTTAATTTCATATAAAATTTATAAAAAATTTATTTATAGTAAGATTTATAGAAGGAAAAACATTTTGTATTTACAATCAGCATTATTAAGGTGGTACAGGAGGCTTGAGTAGTGTACCTTTTGACAAATACAGCTCTTTTGAATATTGTCTTAATTTCAATTCAAATTGACGGGCCCTGTGGCTATACTAGAGGTTGCGTTTGGTTTTACATCTATTTCAGAAAACGTTGAATGCCAAGACAATATATTCCAAGACCATAATGCATTGTTGGTGATTTAAAAGTGATTATACCTGTAACGTATAGTATGTAATGCATCCCTTGGGATGTAATGTAAATGTAAGTAATGTAAACACTACACAAATATTCAAGAATTGTGATCTCGGGGGTCAGTTGAAGTAAAGTGTACAAGAGCGAATGGTCCGTGTGTTTGTGAACTCGTTACAATACCACCTCCTTGTAGTCAAGAAAGCAATATTGCATTACGGTTATATGAAATAGCTGTATATGTGAATGTCATGGCACACGCTCCCGGATATTTTTTATAGTTCCCATAGAAACGCCTCTTTGAAATAATATTTAGTGAAAGTTTCATCATAACACCGAGACCGTATATATTTTAAGTTGTGTATAAAGAACGAAAGAGTGTGTTTTATCGGGTGATAAAGATCCGAGCCGAAGGCGAGAGTCTTTAGTAGATGGAGCCTTTGAGTAAATCAAGTCGCCAATGGCGACACAACTCGAAGATTGTCATACAATAAATCTGGACATAAGTCTGTATAAAGCCTCTTACGAAAGATAAAGTTTATATGAATCGATGAGCATTAAATCACTAATCGACGTGGATCGGAATAATCCTTGAAATCATCGTAATAGCAATGCTGTATCTATGAGCCATATTCACACGATATCTCCTAAAACGACTTCTGAAATCAACAGATTCTTATGCAAGAACCTCCAGACCTCAAAAATCACATTTTGCGTTTAAAAAGCCATTTCTGTATCAAAACACCTGGCCATCTTGGTTACAGATTTCAAAATGCCCGTATGTTTACAGAAAAAAAATTAGTGACTAATTAACTAGTCCCCCTCACACATCATCTCCCTCATCTCCCTCCTATAACTCTTCGATTGCTTCGCAATCTTCGAGTTAAAAAAACGGCATTTTATTGACAATTGCTCACCTTGGGATTCAGTTATGAAACGTACACCTTGTTTTTACATAATGAATATTCATGAATTTTACTGACCAACTTTCGGTCCTGAATTGGCAGGTGAAAGCGTAGACATTCTGCGAAATGCGTTTCAAGACGGAGCGACGTTTACTGGACTTGTATTTCGCGGTAAGATGTTAATAACTTTTTCCCGTTAATCATGTGGAATTAATTATCAATTGTACAGGATAACTAGTGCATTAAAACCTTAAAGTTATAATTCATTTACTATTGAAGATCGCTTTGTAGGTCGTTTTTTCGTCATATCCTATTAAATACTCCTAATAAACTTCTTAGAATCTCATTTTTTTGCTATCTAAT